GCGGCCCCGTCCCGAGCAGTCGCGGGGGCAGCGCAGCTGGGAGCAATCCTCCCCGGTGAAACCCTCCTCGCACACGCACTCGCCGTCCACGCAGAGCCCGCGGGAGCCGCAGCCGGCGGGGCAGCGGAGCTGCGAGCAGTCCTCGCCCCCGTAGTCGTTGTCGCAGATGCACTGGCCCTCCAGGCACACGCCGCGGCTGGAGCAGCCCCGGGGGCAGCGGGGCTCGGAGCAGTTGCTGCCTGCCCAGCCCTCCATGCACACGCAGCTGCACGACTCCAGGCTGAAATTCCCGTGGCCGCTGCACTGCGGGATGTAATCCAGCTGCCCTGCAAGAATGCAGGACCGAGGGTCAGAACCCACCGCGCGAGAGGTGGGAAAAGGTCAGTTTTGGTCTCATGTCAGCCCTCTGAAGGGCTGGAGAAGGGGGCAGGTGTGTGTGTGGTGGGGATAGTCCTCCCTCTGGGCATGCCCAGCTCTGGCGAACTGATGCCTTTAGGGCTGAAAGGGGAAGAATTGGTGGTACGGGGTTGAGGTGGGGTTCGAGTGGATCTTTCCCTAGGGAGCTGTTGCTTCTGTAACTATGGGTGCTATCAGCCTTGTGGTGGTGCAGGTGTTCCCTTTGGTTTCTCTCCAGTTCAGCACTCAGTTGATAGGAACTTCCCTAGACCTCTTACTGGGAAAAAAACCTTCCCTGGCCAAACCCTCTGCATTAGCCATGACTCCTCTGGTCTCACATCTACCCACTTCTCCTTTTTATAGATAAGAGATCCCCATTTGCTTTCTTGCTCTGCTATAAAAAGTAGGTATGTACCCAAAGGTGTCATCTTCATCCCTATCCTGGTGAACCTGATTAAGACAGAACTTTTGGCTTTGGGCACATTGAGGTTGTGGAAAAGCAGGGACAGCACTTGGGCTCTGTGGCCAGCAACTCTAATGCCCCCTCTTTAGCTGGGAGCCTTGCACAGGATGCTCTGGGGTGAGGAGGGAGGATGGGGATGAAGGCACCAGTCACTGACACTGCTAATGCTCCCAGTTTTGCCCTGAAACAGAGCCATTGCTCCAGCTAAGGGTTTATCCTAGGCAGGACTTTTCCTTGCTGATTTTCACAGCCTTTCCTCATGTGAACCAAGGAAGAACAGAAACCCTTTCTGTGCTTCCTCCAAACCGTGGGAAACCTTTGCACCCCAAAG